GGTTAATATTATAGGCTGCTTACGGGGCAGTAAGGGTCGGGGATAACTTTCCTGAGGTGTTGCAAATAATGCAACACTCTCAGGCAAAGCCTTGTAATGTACCGCATTACAGCTTTCACGAAAGTCATTCATAAACATATGCTTAATCATCAATCCCTCGGCGCGACATCATTCCACTAAATCACTTCTATAACTTTTCTAATTAATATGAAGACTTCAAATTTTATACGTGCATTTTTGTGATAGTGATAAATAATGTAGTATTTAAATAAAAATTAATTTTCTAAAATCTGTAACAGACTTTTAAAGAATCTAATTTATTATAAACAATCAAAAATCAATCAAAAAACAATAAAAACAACAACTTTACACAGAAAGAAGTACGCCTAACTTTTTTTGGCTTTAATCTATCTGTTATATACTAATTAGTTGTAAAGTGTCCCTAAATATAAGTAATTAAATCAAATTACAGGTGCAATAGTTCGACATTTATAGATAAATATAAATAAGTACACGGCCAATATCTGGACATACATTGCCAGAAAAAACAAGGAAGAAAGAAACAACAAGGAAGAAAGAAACAACTTTGTAAGTATAAAACAGCAAGAAATAAAAGAAACAGGAGCAGCCTTATAGAAAATAATATTATTAAGAAAATACAAACAAGCATGTAGGATTACTAGCTCGGCCTACCAAATGCATCAGTTTAAACGAAAAACCTCTTTAAAATACTAGCTATATATAAATAAATAACGAAAATATCTCCAACGAAACCTCAAAACTCACTATACCACAAAAAAAAAGCAACACGAAGATCGCCGCCCAGCGAAGTGGCGTGTAATAAATAAATGCTCTGTAAAAGAACTACTTAATAAGGTCGAAAAAACAATTATACTATCAAAGTACTCTTCAATTACAAAAATTAAAATACAAACAAGAAATTCAGAACTATTCGTTCTAATCGTTAAAGAATTAAAAAGTAAAAATACCTTATTCTATATGTTTTAGAGTGAAGAAAATAAGTCATATAGAGAGATCTAAAAAACATGCAATCATCGGTAAGTATAAACGAACTAAAAATAGAAATTAAATATGATCATCATAATTTTATTAAAATTACAGATGTTGAACACAGAATAACAAAACAAATTATAAGACTATAAAATCAAATTATTAGTTTCGAACCGCTATGTAAATGGAGAAACATTCTCCAACGTACTCAATATCAGGAACTTGGCCACACCAAACACTAAAATTTCCGTTTGCGTAGGAAACTATATGCATAGGATATGCATAGGAAACTATCTTATCGGCGAATTTTCGATTCAGACAAAAATAAAAGAAGGTACACGTGTAAACTGCAACGAGAATTATGTAGCAAGTTACAAATAATATATTGCGAAAAAACTACTGCAACAAAAACTATTTCCATCATTATGATCAAAACAGTTACCGCGAAAAATTCTAATTAACGAAAATAACGCTAGGCCACACCTCTTATATGCACAGCCAGTAAACGGTAATGATTTCAAAACGTAAGAGAAATCTAAACAAACAGGCTTAACCAACGTTCAAAAATATTAGCTAGATGGAAACTATGATGATGCAACTCATGAACATAATGGATACAATTCTAAATCTGATTACAATGTTTATAAATAAAATCGAATGAACTCAGTTAAAATTAAAATAGCAGTTTGGAACGCAAACGGATTATTCAACGAAGTCTTGAACTAAAAATCTTTTTAATAATATTGATTATTGATATAATATTAATATCCGAAACTCACTTCACACACAACATTTTTTTAAATTCTATATATAATTCAAACTACTCTGACAATAAGTCATACGAAGAACAGCAATTATTATTAAAAATATAATTAAAAATCACGTAAACGAATCGTACAAATAAAACTACCTAGAAGCTACTAATGTTACAGTTGAAGATACGAAAATTCCGTTTATGATCTGTGCCATATATTGTTCCTATAGACATTCTATTAATAAAAAACAAAACGAAAAAAACTTCAACAGTTTGAGACACTGATTTATCACAGTAGGTAACTATAACGCGAAATATGAATGTTGGGGATCAAGTTTGTTTTTCCAAATCCAATAAAAGTTTTTCTGTATTCAGTAACACAAGCGGAAATTTTAATACCAATACCCAAGGATGAACCTACCTATTGTCCTCTGATTTAAATAAATTAACTGAATTAAATGACTTTACAGTCATCAAAGAATTATGCTCGAAACGACTAACAGACAAATCGTATCAAATTTCGGTTTATTATTAAAACTCAAAATAGAACCTTATCTGAAAATATTTACTCACTTTTAATTTTTATCTAAACAGTAGGACTTTAAAAGTTAAAATACATAATGCAACTATAAAACTATATAAAATTATAGAAGCAGCTATCCTCCAAGACAGTGTTCTAGGTCGGTTATTATATTTAATTTATACCTATGATCTTCCAACTATAGAATATATCGCTTATGCAGATGACTCAGCAATAATAATATCACATTTTATAACAACACAAGTTTAGAGACTTAAATGCAGAAATTTCTAGAAATGGGCTAACTTTAGTTCGAAAAATGGAGGAAAACGATCAACAAAGTAAAATCAATACAGGTAACTGTTATATTGTTGTATATTTGTGTTATATATTTTATATATTTATGTTATATATTTTTGTTATATATTTGTGTTATATTGTGTTATATATTTGTTGTAACGTTGAAAAAAGAAACTCGCCTTCCCACTTCATATAAAATATAAAAAATCTACCGATTCCACAAGAAAATAAGCCGCACATTAAAGTGGCGGGACCATATGTGGATTAAGTGGAAGCAACTCAATATACAGTAACGAAAATTCTACTAATTGTTAGGCAGAAAATCAAAATTTTCAATTAATTATAAACTGTTAATATATGGATGCAAAATTAAACTAACATGAACTTGTCGAATACAATTGTGGGGCTTGGCAACAAAATCAAATACAGGCATTATTGAAAGATGCCATAATAAAATCCTAAGAGCCATCGTGAATGCAGCCTTGCTCGTAACAAATAAGATAATTATAAAAGACATTAAGATGACAACAGTAAAAGAAGAATGAGAAACTGCAAGCAGAAAGTACATAAATAAAACATAATGTAAATATATAAGAGTTTTACATGGATCATTAGACAAGTACCTTCATTTATTAGCATATCACTAATTTATAATTATCATTATAAAATTTATATATTGTTCTTTCATTTTTATATATCGTTTTTTCATATAATAATATAAATAAATAAATTATAAATTTTTTATTTATTGATAACTCTGTTATAAATCAGTTATCAAAGTGTCAAATTCTTGCTTATCTTTCTTAATCTGCTAGGATCACTGTTGTATATTCAAATTCGAATATTTTATTTATTTATTGCAAAATTACTAGTGATATTTAGTTGCAAATTGAATTAAGTTAACAAATACGTATTACATGATCATAATAAGTTGAAATTCGAGATAAGCACATTGAAATTTACCGAAAAAATGCTTTCTTCGTTTGAAAAACATTCAATTATTGATTTTGCATCGAAAACAATAAATTTCCCATGACATCACGTTTCTTAAATGGTCTTTATTTTGATAAATTACCCTAACACATTCACGCGTATAATTGAAGTAGCGCCGTTGTTTTAATAACACCTTTCCTCAGTTTTCGAATGTGTGACGGGTTGCTTTGGCGCAGTAGAAAGCGAAAACAAGATAAATCAGACTGAACCGTTATAATACAAGGGTCGTTCAATAAGTTCGTGACTTTTCGGAAGATGATGATATTATCGCTATTTATTTAAACTTCAGAAAATATTATGGAGACTGCTCCATCACATGGCATGGTTCCAAAGTGATTTACGGAATTTCGTTGTGGCCGTAGGAGCGCAAGTGATACTGAGCATTTTGGCCGCCTAAAAGAGGTGACTAGTCAAGACATGATTGATAAAGTTCATGATATTGTACTCGCTGATTATCGATTGAAAGTGCGTGAGATTAGTGAGGCTCTTAATACTTCAGTAGAATGCACATAGAACATTTTACATGAATGTTTAGGCATAAGAAAGTTGTCTGGAAGATGGATGCCACGCTTGCTCACAGCTGATAACAAGTGAACTCGTGTGGTTGCATCTGAGCAATGTTTCCAAAGGAAGGTAATCCAAAGGAGTTTTTGCAATGCTACGTTATTGTTGATGAAATATGGATTCATTATTATAAAAATTATACGAAACGAAAAATCTGTTGAAAATGTGGACTGGGTCGAAAAAAGGGATAACGATATGATCAGTCGGAAAAGTCCTGGCAACAATTTTTTAGGACTCAAGCGGTATAATATTAATCGATTATCTACAGAGTAGAAAAACTATTACAGAAGAATATTATGCCTTGTTAGACCAATTTGATGCCATATTAAAAGTCCTCATCTAGCAAAAAAAATTCTTTTCCGCCACGACAATTTACCAGTTCATAAGAGTTCCATTACATTGGCAAAATTATTTAATTTACACTACGAAACAATTCCTTATCCATTATATTCTCCAGTATTGGCCCATTCCGATTATTTTTTGTTTTCTGACATGAAAATTTTCCTTGCGGGTAAAAGATTTTCATCCAACGAAGAGATGGCTCTGACAAATCTGAGTAATTCGAGGATAAAAAAGGATTTGATAAAAATTAATTTTTCAGAAGGCATAAAAAAACCTTGAATACTGATATAATAAATGTCTAGAGTTAAGAGAGAAATATGTTGAGAAATAAATTAGAATTATTTAAATATTTTTTCATTTAAGTTTACGGACTTATTGAACGACTCTCGTACATTTTTTAATAATTTACCATATTTAAATTGTAAACCTAAAACTATTTATAAAAACAACTGTCTTATTTGATAAATATTTTGAAAACTAACAAAACTCATAATGTCATCGAAAACAATAACTTACATTCTTATTGGACTGACCGCTTTTCCAAATGTTTGTCGAACTCGAGGTAGTGTTATTGGTGTAAGTGAACGTTTTCTTCTCTTATCACGATCTCTATCACGATCTTTATTCCGCTTGTCACGATCTTTTCCAAGATCTTTATCTCGATCACGATCTCGTCTATCTCTTGAACGAGATCTACGCCTTCTATCACGGTCTTTATCTCTATCACGAGTTTTATCTTTGTTTCTATCTTTATCCCGGTCCTTGCGCTCTTTATCTCGATGATCTCTCGATCGCGATCGAGATCGAGAACGATGTTTATTCTTGCTGAAATCAAATAGTTCAATTGAAACATAAATCATTATCTGAATATTGTTGAACATTTTCAAATTTTTTACTATTTTATTGATTATCAAGAAACTGACATATCTTCCTCAGAATTAAACTATGAAAATCAGTGTTATTATTGCTTTTAATAATATGATTGAAAATCATGTACTGGTTTCATACTTTTCTCGTAAATAACAAATATTTTATTTAAAATTCAAATTGAAGAAACTGCTGAATCTATTAATGAAGTTTTTCCTAAAATGCGAATAAAAATCTGTGATTCTTTTCTTTAGTTATACAGGAAAGGCTATTATTAAAAATGCACCCACATTACTTCGTCTAGGTGAATTTTCACAAGATATATGTAGGGTAGAAGTTGCTTGACTTTAAGGGGGACTTATTTTGATTTCCAACCTTGCGTTTGACCATGGAAGTCATATTCAAAGACATTTCAAGGTCAAATTTGTTTTTTAAATGAAAACCCCTATTTTTTACTTCGGACTGAGGAAAAGCAGGAATTTTTACCTAAAAATAAGGTAACATAGTCGGGGTCGGATTGCCTTACAAGATTATGTAGAGATCAGTTTTTTTTTTTTATACTTTCCACTTGAATGCTTAGGCAAGCCTATAGTCAAGCAAAAAATGAGTCAGACCAAGTTTACGCAACTTGAGGAGGACATATTCCTGTAGTCTTACCTTTGACCTTGAAAGTCATGTTCGAGGTTTCAAGGTTATTTTCAATCGTGATAGGTCGAAATCATTAAATTTATTAATTAATTATATTAGGGAATATTGAAAATAAAAATTTTTTTAAATCGACAATCGATTCGATAAATTTTTTTCTATCACCTTTTTTCGGGAACTATAATCATTTAAAATTGCCCTGTACCAACTAGAAGAAATTAAGCCCGTTTTGTCATTTCGTAATAGATAATCAATGTATGTTTCAGGACAGATATGTCCCTAGGAATTAAGCCCTATGCTTAAGCATATATGCACGTTTGAGAACAGATTTGCCCCTAGCTTTTTGATCAGTAGAATTAATTTATGGACAGATCAATTTCTTTTTAACAGGTAATAGGGTACTCGGTAGAAAATTCCTATGTTTGAGCATATATGTATATTTCAGGACAGATTAGTTCCTAGAGACTAAAGACCTTAGTGCTCTAGTTCAAGTAGTTTTTGATCACTAGAATTAATAAATTTATAGCCAGATTTATTTCATTTTAATTATTATAGTTATTTTTCAATTAAACAATGAGTATAGGGAATACTTCATCATGCGTTTGGCTCTGCTTCTAATTTTCAAAATAAACGGATGCGCCGGGGAATTGAACTCACGTTTTCTGTGTTCACACTTTTTTTGAATAGCTTTTTTTTGCAATGAAGTTACTTAGGTGACCGCTAGTTCCTACTAATTGAACGATACTACCACAAGCTAAGCTAGCTATATCTGATGAAATGGAATATATTTTTTCTTATAAATTTTTTTGGGGTGATCGTACTATCTACTCGTACTTTCTATTCATCCTTTTTTTCAACACTTGAACTTCGACATTTGAAAAATTTATTCTAAACCTTTTTTTTCAAAAAATATGAAATCTTTTGGAAGGAGATGTATTTTACAAAGAGCATTTTCATTTGTCGACGGAAGGGTTTTTCCTGTCGAAAGGGTAAGTTATTTAACTATAAAAAGTTTTCCGTCGAAACTGATTCATCAGTAGTTCTACAACTCACTTACTTGTGCTCATAGTTCATAGCTAAAATATATTTAAAAAATGGCATTTATTAAACAATTTTTAATATTCCTGGAAAGAGTAAGTACATAGTTACATTTATCTACAATAATGTAGCATATAATAATTTTTTAAAATCAATATTTACTCTGCAGTTCAAATGATTTCATGAGACATCCTGTACGAATTGCTAATAAGCGTTTTTGTGGTGGTACGTATTTTTTTTCTGTTATATTTTTTTCTTATTTGTTTCATTGTTTCATAATTATTTTCATTTTTTCATATGCTTCAAATAATCAAATCAGAGACCCCACAAGGGGTTCATATTATAATTATGATGGGGAGAATTCAACAGATTGTGACGGTAAACGTCTTATTAGCGCTGACAGCCCAACCATGCGGCTGCCTGCGGGGGCAGCACCTATCGGTTGGGAAAAGATGTGACGAGGGAATTCGGCACAAGACGTGACGGAACGCGCACGTATGGAAATGAACTAGTTGAAGATTAGAACCCGCACACTCAGCTGCTGCTAGTGACAATTAGAGTTTTCCCCGAGTTTTCTTGGAGTGCTAAGACGAGTCAACTGATAAGGATCGACAGGAGCTATGCATGAATCAGACCAGAGCGAGTGCGTGCTAGTGTGCGTGAGTGAGGGGTTTTACCATCGAGGGCGAAACCGAAAACGCGAGATACCTCGTGACAAAGACAGACTTTGCCGCAACTAGAGTGCGAACTTTTTCTCTCGTGCTCCGTGCGACTGCTAATAAGGTAAGCTGGCCAGCTTAATTTCGCGACTGCTATGATTGCTAATGACTAATTTTTCGTACTCCATAAGAAGCGTGCATGTATTAACTCGGTGAACAAAGTGCGGCGACCAATCCGACACTACATGTTATTGTCGCGCGCGCGCTTTGTAAACATAAACACGCGGGCCTAACAAACTGTAGAAATAAGAGGGAATAAACGATCTCTAATGTGATATTGATTGTAATTTTGATGTTATTATTTCACGCTAGTAGAAAGTTGGTTGACTGACACCCGTTCCCTCCTGCTCTCCGACTTTCGAATTTGAACGTTTAGGTAATCCCGCGCGCTCTTCGATGCGATCGCGCGCTTAATTAAATAGACGGATATCTACCCCGTTACATGGTGCCCAACGTAAAAGAACCTACAGCGTTTATGATTGTTCAAAATGCCGGTTCTAAACATTGACCTTGCGCTTAGTCAACCAGCGATTTAGGTGACAATCAAAGTGTTGTTGTGCACATTTTGAGTTAAAAGCCACATAGAAAACATCGCCTCTCTGTTAGTTAGCTTGCGAAGGCCCGCCGCGACGATAATTTGTAAACAGTCGTTGTAAGCGCGTGCGAGTGCGACCGAACGACTCTTAGCCAAAGCGTAAACACCAATAAGTTTTGAAAGTTGCCACAAATCAATAATATTACACCCGTTGGCTCGGGGAAAACTAACACCGGCAACATTCAAACAAAAGAAACTCAAATTGATAGTTTTATTTGATATAGTGTTGTCTTAACGTAAATGTATTTTTTTCGAATATTGATAGCTGCGGTTATTGGTGACTACGCATATAGACGCTCGTTCTAATATTTTAGATACTAACCAACACAGCCGCGCTAACAAACAGTTAGTGCGCCTGATAGGCAGGATCATTATATTGCGCAATAGCGAGCAAAGAATCTTTCGGTAAACACAACATTAAATACCCGTTGTTAAGACTATTATCGGCCAGTAAAGTCTAAATTTGTGCGTGTTTGCTTGTGAATATTAGATATAGCACTCGAACTCGCATCATCCGTAAAACAAGCGTGTAAATCTGTACAAAAACTAGTCGCAACATAACTAACAGATGACAATGGACTGCACTCAAAAAGAAGTCGAAGACTGGGTGTTGACGCTCCAAGACGAGGAAATAAACGAATACCTCGAACACTTGGAGTTCAAGACAAGCGGGAATAAGCTCTAGAGAGCTGGGCGACTGCAAATTTGGTAGTTAGGCGACTACTCTGCGGCGGATTTCGTACAAGTCGACAACCAACACAGCAGTCCAGCAAGAAGAGCAGTCCTACGCTCGGAGCTCATAGTATCCATATGCGCGGAACACACAGCATCCGAATAAGAAGGTGAACACCCACTAGCCCAGCTAATGCAAAGTGCAGAGGTGATATTGCGGATTCAGGAAACAGCGATAAACATCACAAACGTACTGGACGACGGCGAAAGTACTAGCAGTAATAAGTATATTACTATAACGGCTAATGATGGTAGCCAGTTTCAACTTCCGCCGGCATTTGCGGTAATGATTCAAGACCTCATTTTCCGCTCCAGAGAAAATGAGAAGAAGCTCGAGCTGCTAGACTCGTTAAGAGTAAACGTGTCGAGTCTAACGAAAGTATTAGACCAGATATACAACAACTGCAGCAATGTTAAGAGCCAACTGGACGACCTATCTGCCAGAATGAGCGCATTGGAAAATGCCGAAAACAGGAATGTACGGTAAGATAATGCGAATAATTCTAGCGAAAAGCGACAACAAGAAAACACGCGTAAGAGCGTAGTATTCCAAGATACCTTCACCTATTATTACGACACCAGATTACCTCACAGTACTCCAGCTGGACCCGAACAGAGGCCCACGGGGGCCACCGGCAGGATCCCCCGCCGGACGCTCCCTTTCGGAGAGGGTGGACAGCATCAACTCAGTGGAGTTAATGCTGAAGTGAATAACAACCCGCCGAGCACGTAATCATCTCAGCAGACAACAAATCCTTGGTCGACTACAAGGGATGTTGGTCGCATTGTCCGAGGATGGAAACTGAAGTTTTTAGGAGAGGGCAATGCGAGTATTGACACCTTCCTGTCTAGGCTGGACAACTAGAGGAACGGCGCGGAACTCAAGGAAGACGAGATGCTCCTAACGGTATCGGAGCACTCGTCGGTCCCGCCCTCGCCTGGTACGAGGCGATGAAGGAGGAATGGCTCTCCTACGCCGAATTCGAGATGGACGCAAGGGAATGGTTTGGGATCAGCGTGCAGCAGCAACAGCGTCGGATGAGGGAAATTGAGAGCCGATACCAGGGCCCCGACGAACCCGTGAACATCGCCAACATGATGGGCCTGATGAAGCGACTAAACCCCCAAATGACGCCTGATTGCCAATTGGACATTCAGGGCCAGGTGCGGAGATCCAAAGTGAGCTCCATACGAACCCTGAATGCGCTGGCCACGGCGACACAGAACAG